CTCTTCTGTCTTCATTTCGTCCGTCTCATCTTTCTCACCCGAACCACCACCCACCCATTCCCACGATTCCTGAAAGCAGGCTGAAGAGGGCCTTCCGCCCTACCTTCCGGCATAGTCCGGAGGGACTGCCCGTCCACCAGCATTAGAGTGACTGATGGGAATGATACACCCAAAAGTTTTTTTTTTTATAAACACTTAATTCAGTTGAACATAAGCAAGTCAGTCAGCTCAAATCATTCGTTACATTTTCAACCCAATCAAGTCCTTGTACATTTTTTCATTTAATATTTTCATTGTATATATTTCTTCGTTCAATTAGTTTTATTTATTTGGTTAGTTAGTTTCACGATAGTTTTACTTTGTACTTATTTTGTAAATATTCCGTTTTTCTTTGTTAGTGAATTAAATTTCTTGAAACCATTAAGTTTGTTCATTAAAAAATGTGGTAGAGCAGTACACCAGGAAAACCAGTATAATCGACGTTTGCTTTCTCTACAATACTGACCAAAAATGAATTTAACTGTAATACGAAACTATGATTTAACATTGTGAAACAAATGATAAGCTCGCTCATTGTTAACATGTACAAGTAAATATTGCTTAGGGATTAAATATAAGTAGTAATAGAAATTAATAATGGCACATATATCTTCAAATGCGAAAAAAGTTAAATTGTTGGAAATGTATTTAAAAAGCAAATAGAAAGGCTGAATGTCTTCTGAAAAGCCCAGGTACGCACCGGACAATTTTTAATAGAATAATTAGAAATTTAGTAAACTTTGGAAGCTACAAACAAAACAGAAATAAATACCAAGTTAAACCACATCAGTTCGTCAAGTTGTACAAGAAATTAGAATTTTTGATATGTGCTTTGCTTACACAACGTGTTTTGGTTCGTTGGATCAAAGAATCTGTATCAACTTTTGTGTGAAAAACAAAATTAAGTGCATGGACGGATTCCGAATGTTGACTGTGGCATATGATGAAGCTACCTTGGACAGAAGCAACGTTTATCGGTGGTACAAAATGTTCTCAGAGGGCCGAGAAGATGTGAACGACGAAGAGCGTGCCGGACTCCCGAACACGTCAAGAACAGACGAAAACATTGATGAAGTAAGAAAATAGTATTGGCCAATCGTCGAATCACCATTAGAGAAGTTGCTGAGGACCTAAACATATCGATTGGCTCCTGCCATTCGATTTTTACCAATGATTTGGGCATGAGACCGTCGCCGCGAAATTCGTACCAAAATTTCTCAATTTCTACCAAAAACAGCATCGCATTAACATTACTAATGAGCTGTTGGACCTGTCCGGGACGACCCAAATTTGTTCCAGAGGGTCATAACTGGTGACGAACCATGGACTTATGGTTATGAAGTGGAAACCACAGCTCAATCATCCCAACGGAAACTGCCGCACGAGCTAAGACCGAAAAAAGCGCGCCAAGTTAGGTCGAATGTAAAGGTTTTGCTTACAGCTTTCTTCGATTGCAGGGGCGTGGTGCATCATGAGTTCTTGCCACAGGGTAGAACGGTCAATAAGGAATATTACTTGCAAGTTATGCGCAATTTGTGAGAAGCAATCCGTCAGAAACGTCCGGATTTCTGGAAGAATAATAATTGGCTTTTGCACCATGCTCACACATTGTTGCTTGTGCGCGAAGTTTTGGCTAAAAACAATACATTGTTCCTCAGATCTGGCCCCCTGTAACTTTTTCTTGTTCCCGAAACTGAAGAGGCCTATGAAAGGACGACGCTGTACTACAATTGAGGAGATAAAGACGGCATCGAAGGAGGAGCTGAACAAGATTTTTTGAAGTGCTTCGAGCACTGGAAAAAAAATTGGCACAAGTGTATAATATCTGGCGAGGATTACAATGGGACAAAATAGATACTCATGAATAATTAGATAATTTTTTTAAAAAACGCAAAATTCGCGATATTTTTTGAACAGATTTCGTATAACAAATTAATTAAAAACGTACCTAAAACGTATCTATCATCAATATGCGTAGGTTAATTAGAAATCTTTTTACATATATAACATATTCTTTCATTTTTTGTCACGTATTTCATTGGTTCCATTCATCTGATTGCGATGAAACTTTGATGAATTGTTATCTTGTTGTCTACACCCCAAGGATGGTTGCTGAATTAAAAAAAGAAACACTTATTTTGATATACCTATACTTAGGTACATATCACTTATAGACAAGGTAGACATCCGTACGCAATAGTGTCGAAAGCTCAGTTTTTTGTTTTGCCACTACGACGGCCCCTCAGCCCCGAAAATTACCGCTAGTTCAAAATACGCAGAACAAAGTTCGAAACGCCTAAATTTTATTTATTTTATTACATTATTAAACAAATGAATTATATGATCATAGACAGTTTCTTTACAATTTTTACCATATATTGCATCGTAATGATTATGACTTTTTACAAAATATTTTCCATATTTTTTTGCTTCTTTCGGCAAAAGGTCATAAAACTTTTGGACATCCTAAAATAATATTTCTTTCATTCATCGAGAGACGAAACATAAATAAAGTGTCTTAAATTGATTTCAAATATAAATATTATGATAAATGTTAACATGCTTTTCAATTATAAAGTCATTCAGGATCATGTACACCTGATTGTTAACATGCTTTTCAATTATAAAGTCATTCAGGATCATGTACACCTGATTGTTAACATGCTTTTCAATTAGTAATACCTACCTTTGGGGTAGAAATCCAGTCATTACCACCATGTATTAAATAGTGTGGAACTAATATGTTTTCGATGGGGTAATCGGGTGCTGTTTCGCTACCATACGCAATGATATTACTCCGTTTTCCGTAATTGTAAAAATTAAACTTATCAGTTACTGTATGTTGCCAATAATGGGAAACAACCTTTATGGAAAATCCCGCAAAATTTTGATGCAGCATAATAGGAAACCATTCCTATTAGGTAACTTTTTAAACGTCATGTTTTTTTGTTTTTTTTTTTGGACTTGCATATGAAAAGACTGGTTTTATTTTTAACTCACCGGCATTTGATTCCCATAATTTGGTCCCATTCCTAAGAAAATAACAAGCTTGGCACATCTTTCTAAGTTATCTTTATAAAGACAAAAACCTTTAGCAAAATTATGAAAAAATCCATTATGGTTAAACAGGTTCATGAAGTTAAACTGTTCGCAGATATCCTGAAATGAACACATTTCGTAAGAGTATATTACTTGGTATACCGGGTGTCTCACTGGACTCAGGCACGTCCATGTCTCTTTCTGTTAATAGTAAATACAAAGGTTCTTCTAAAAAAGTAGTGCAGAACTTTGCGCTCATTAATATGGAGCATGGGAAAATGGGCGAAGCCTTACTAGTTCAAAAGTTACCGAAAGAAACCGAAAGACGCCAATTTGGACAACTTTTTTATGTACTTTCCAATAATGCAGTTTTTAACTTCATTTTCTTTTATGGACGCAGCCGCCGCACTGGATATTTGAGTATTTCAATTTACCAAAATGCCTTCCTTATAATTTGATATGTTGCATGCAATATTGGAATACTAATCATATAAGAAAATCCTTATGAATAATCATTCATTAAACTTTAAAGTGAATTTGAAGCTGCTCAGAGCACAGCCGAACATGGCCAAAAGGCGAGGGTCATTGATTTTATTATTTAAGAAACAAATAGGTACAATTATATTGCTTAAGCGCGCACAAACAATAATTAAAATAACTTAGTAACAGTACGTGTAACACTAGAGCAAAGTTGAGATACCTCTGGGATGAAAAAAGTGGATTCCTTTTTTTTCCTTTTTACCATTGATCATAAATCAGTTAATAGCTTCTGTGCATATATCTAATGAATTTACATACAAACGTAGATAATTTGAAATTTGCTAATCTGAACCAAAGGCACATTCATTTTATGAAACGTTAATTTGTGAAAATAATATTTTTAATTGTTTTTGATGATTTGTGAACCTATTAAAATTCTCTTCATTCAATTACTAACGCAAAACAAATTAATTTTAATACGACAAGTTTATTTTATGTTTGTGTTCACGTGCCTCTACGTTTTCGGTTGCTTTCGGGTGTGTTCTGAGCAGCTTTAAATTAAAATACTTAGAGTAAGATACACCTGGAGAACACTTTTTAAATTTTTGTATGGTTAAATGCAATGTATTTGTGAATTAATTTTTTGCATTACCTTTAGCCAGGGGCCTGGACTCGATTCGCGGCGATGGAGTAACAGCAGTCACAACTTTTCCACATTAGTTTGAGGTTATCTGTAGTAGGTAAAGTTAATTCAAAAAATTAATTCACTAATACACCTGGAGAAGTTTCACTTATTTATTAAAACTCGATGTATATTTCGCATTCTTGCGGCATCTTCAGGAGCGCGAGTATCATTAAGGACTAAGCATCAGTTAATACCTTAAATACTAGAGCATTTAATTTACCTCTCAATCAAAACATTACAAATCATAATGTGATAAGTTAACAACCAAATTTAAGCAAAATCCAAAACCCTCATCAAAATTAAATAAGAAAAATACTGGAAAAAGTGACGACTACGAAGTTGCCTACTCAGATTGTTCAACTATATATATCAGGAAGTCAATGAGCACATTCGTAATGTCTTATACAACAAGCAGTGTTCTGGACTTTCCTCACATTTGATAGAAATCCACCATATAAAAATTACTTAAACCTACCACATACAGGGGGGAGGGGGCGAAATCTACGGTATATTGAAAATTAAAGAAGTCATTTCATTCAATAAAAAGTTAGTGTAACATGTAACAAGCCCTCGTAGATTCTAATTCCATCTAAGAACTCTAATGTTACTTAAGAAATTAACTGAAAATACAACCTTTTTACCGAGCGATATGGCCTTAATCCTCATTCCTACAGGAGGCAGAAGAGGACTATCCGCCCTACCTTCCAGATAGTGGGAACGAAACCCATAAAAGTCTTTTAGTTAATCCAACTTTAATACTTAATCATACTCCCACTCCTGTACGTCGAGTTTTAATAAATAAGTAAATCCTCTCCAAGTATATTTTATTCTATTTTGAATTTAGAAAAGTTTACAATTATTGTGTGGCCCAATTATTCAGAGCGTTGTTGTCATCATAAGGTCTAAGTCTAAGTCCTAAGACTGGTTGGACACGCACCTCCACTCTTTCCTGTCCCGAGCTAATCTTCGCATTTCCCTAAAACTAGAACAACCCACATCCTTAACTATTTGCGAACAGTAATCTAATCTAGGTCTACCTCTACCCCTCCTAACTTCCGTTTCTGCCTCTAATATGTCTCTGACTAGACCTTCATGTCTGAGAAGGTGTCCAACCAACCTATCTCGCTTATTTCTTGTTGATTAAAATGTGCAAAAATTAAATATGCCGTCTGCAAAAAAATCGAATAGGTGTGTGTTTCTCGGAAACAACTAGATTAATAAAAACAAAAACCATTCGAAAGTACATAAAAAACTAACAAACAAGTAATAAGAACATTTTATGATCCTGGTCAGTAACTTATCGAAACTGCTAGATATAGATCGCGACTTCAAACTTACTCACCAGCATACTATACGCAGTCTAGATAAATTACCAACCAAAGTGGTTTTCTCCGTGAAAAGAAATGCTAATTAAAAACTAAACTGTTCATATTAATTTGGTTTACATCCATATCTATAAATTTATACAAGGTCTAACAGAAGTAAGTGCGGAGCTTTGGGGGTTGTAAATTAGATGCAGTAAGGAGTTGCATGGTGATTCAACAGCGCTGTAAAGGGCAACGTTTTCTTTTTAAGAAAACTACGGCAATTTACGATTCTGTGCGTGAATAAGTAATTACCAATTAGCGAATTGTGATGAAAACTCTGCAACTAGATCGATGAAGAATGTACGTAGTGCCAGTTATCGAACGTCTATAATGAACAAACAATTTACTATTACACATAATAATAATACAGCCTAAATAGGTAAATGAGTATCATCTGGAAAACAACACCAGTAGGTATACCTAAACGCATATTTACATGTACTACAAGCTTGTTCGAAATTAGAATCTCGTTTTAGAAGACAGGCTTAGAAACTGAAGTTATTTTTGAATTGCCAAAAAAAAGCCGGCGTTTGGCGTATTTCATTAGCAGCGATCATCACGCACTGGTCTTGCAATCTGAGGGGGTGAAATAACATAACATCCACACAGTTGCCACAGTACATCTTCAAGCACATTCGTCAATCTTTTGTAAAAAATTCAAATAAATCACACTATTCAAATGCGTAGGTAGAACGACCGGTCCAAATAGCGGATCTCCAAAAATTAACACCACACTTTTATATACTGAAATTACGAACGATGTACGACATGTGGTTGGTGCGTCACAGCAATCGTGTCAATTCTGAAAATTCAATATTTCGTCTCGCATAAAGCAACATTTGTCTATAACAGCAAAAAAATAAGTTCTCTCGCTATTCTTTCGAAACCACTATCAGAAATTGATTCTCCATTGAAAATTAGTTTCAAGTAACGCTTGCTGTCGCTAGTATTAATGATAAGGAAGAACCATCTGTTACTGATATGGTTCAATCCCGTAAATAACCATCATGCCACACCATTGTAACAACAACTGTTTTACAGTGACATACTGGCCTATTCCAATGATTCATGTATTGCTAAATTAGTGAACTGCATATCGATTGACTAAATAGAAGGTTTAAACGTAAAAAAAAGGCAAACAACTACTGAAGGCTGAAGGTAGCATAAATTACCCTGAATCACACTTAATCCAGTCGAACAAATAACAATACCTTAGCCAAAAGTACAAAAGAAATGCCACACTGATACTGCTAATTACCAATTGATTGAATGCGATGTTTCATTGTTGCATTCCTTTCCAGGACTGGTGTTGAATTTGTAAGGATTTAGTTGTTTTTTTGCATGTTTTGTCATGTCTGTTTGATACGAGCGGTGTCTAGCTCAAAGGCAAGTGCCGCGCTGGGGGCTGCGATGTCTTGCACAACAGCATTTGTGTTTTTGATTTGTTTAGTCTACCTATCGTGGTGGAAATAAGAATAAGTAAAATTTGCTATGTTTAGTTTAGTCAGTAATAGATAGTGGTAAGCGTAACATGTATTGAAGTAGTCTTGTTTTCCGCATTTTAAAATATAAAAGTTAATTCTCGTTTTGATATCTTCGTTGTTTATTTTCAACAAAATAATTTCCCTTGGATTCAGTTCCGCGACAACTGGAATTATAATTATTAATACTTTCAACTACGTTTTTCTCGAAAACGGTGAACTTTCGGTAATAGAAACATTCATTCAATTTTTCTTTTTTATAGTGTCCTATCAGCTCCTGCAACCTCCGCACTAATATCTGTTACACCCTGTATAAAAGGATAAACAGATTTACCGACACATCAACGTACATCTCAAACCTCTGCGTCTGTAAACATGAAATTTTATACATACGTTCCATATACGGATACCGTGGATAGAGAAGGTTAGAAATCAAGAGGTATTAGAAAGAGTAAGAGAACAGAGGACGCTACAGAAGTCAATAAGAAATAGGCTAGCTAGGTTAGTAGGACACCTTCTCAGGTATGAAGGTCTAGTCAGAGACGTATTAGAGGCAGAAACGGAAGTTAGGAGGGGTAGAGGTAGACCTAGATTAGATTACTGTTAGCAAATAGTTAAGGATGTGGGTTGTTCTAGCTTTAGGGAAATGCGAAGATTAGCGCAGGATAGGAAAGAGTGGATATGCGTGTCAAACCAGGCTCAGGACTGACGACATAGGCGAGCACTAAGAAAGGATCTTTTCCCCGAAAGGGGAGAAAAGGGCCTTCATAGTTTCTTGCATCGATCAAGGCAAAGACCAAACCGCTGCATCAGGAAGCTTGAAATTTAGCATAAAGGTTCATTATAGAATGGTATCTACAAAAATGAGTTTTCAAAATACCACCTTAAAAGGTAAAATGAGGATTTACGATATAATCGAATTCCAGCTGCTCGAAGTCAGGAGTAACAGCTAGTCACGTATCAAAATTGCGTTTTAGATTTATTTTCTCACCTAGATATCTTTAGAAAGCTTCGTTAAGTATTTGGACTACTGTTAGCAGCAAATACACTAAATGGCGATATCCTACCTGTATTTTGATAAGAAATAAGTCTGTAAGTTCTGTAAGCGAAAATGTTGGAATTTGCAATTTGGAAATTGACGTTTTTCTTTTTCCTTTTATTTCAATATTGTCTGAACTGGTAAACGTTCAGCCCTTTTTAATGCGGCATATTAATAAATACTAAATTGTGCCATATGTATATTCCTTATATAACTAACTCTGTGTTTACTACTAACAATGTTAACATGTTAGGACACGCCTGGTGCGACACTCAGTATACACAACATATAATCATATTTTGATATAAGTTTAATAAAATTATCTTACTACTATTGGTTGCCTTAGAAAAGCAATATGTTGCATTAAAATATTTGAATTCCCAAGAAACGCAGTTGGTGCCATTTCTACGAAAACTTTTATGTTTTTTTCGGCATGTTTGGGAAGTAATGCGTTGTATATGAAGGCCGCAGTGGTACCCATCGAATGACCCACATAATATATTTTGTCACTTGTGTGACTGTATTTCTTAACTAAATCAATTTGCGCGGGAAGGTCATACATGCCCATTTCATGAAAACTGCAATGAAACCATAATTTTTTATAATCGGGAAGTAATAAATTTTAACGTTCTATTTACTTATAAGTAACAAACTGATGCCTCTAATTTTTGCCATTATTTTCAAGGTATTGTCGAGGTCACTAACAATGGAAAGTCAAACAAATTTTCTTCCGGAAATTTTTACATATTTGCAGCATTTGAATTTAGACAAGAATTATTTGCTCAAAACTACAATACCTATGGTTCCAATAAGCGTTACTGGTGGTAGGCAAACGGAGATGTTTGCTGGAGTAAATTGTACCCCTAAAGTGTCCCATCCATACGTCATATCCAGCATCAGAAAGAAGAAATGCTAAAATACAATTCCAATAGAGCTACCTACTGAGGCTTTTAATAACCGGTCATCTTTGGATCATCTGAGTCTGAGATGATTTCAAATGAAATAAAACAGTTTTAATAAGAACACAAATACTAACCCAACGACTTGTTCCCTTTATCTACCCAGACGTTGGCAGCAGCAGTCAACGGATGTTGTAAGTACACGACACCCTTATTACTCTCTTTCTTTGGGATTCGAAATAATGTTAAAATATAACCGTCTGCTGTAGCCACTTGGTAACGTTCAACAGGGTAATTATTCCTGTTTATCATTTCAGGCTGAAAATTCATACAAAATACACTTTTTTAAAAATTATATTTTTTGTTTAAATTTAACGATAGATAAAAATGTCACAGTTTGTAAATAAATTATGTAGGTATTTATTAAAAATCTTTATGTAAAATTTTCAGCAATTAACGAAAAACATCCAATCTTTTAAAAACTGTTATGTTCAATTAACTGTCATTAGTGTTACTTGAATTATTACCTCTCAACAGAAATAATTGAATATATTTATTAAAAAAAAATTTAATAGAGTAACACAAAACACAAGTAGCAGTAGCAATACTGGTTAATTTTTAATTGAAAACTGACAAT